ATAGACAGGGAATCCATCACTGAGAGCAAAGCATCTGTTAACTCACCTCCCAAGTGGAAATAAGCCCAGAGACCAGACAATGATTAGTGATGATGGAGCTTTTTAAATTAAATGGTAGTGCTGGAAAGGAACAGCTCATTTTAAAAAACCTTTGTGGAAATCTTGAAGTGAGTAGGGAGCAGCTGAGCAGAAACCCATCAGCCCTCTAATACTTAAAACGCTCCCTTAATTTTAAATATCCGCAGGACAAGGGGCTTTCCTTTATTTTTCTGACATTTTAAAAATATATTTTATAATTTTCCTAATGAGAAAGATAGTGCACATCAATAGCCAAAAACTGTTTGGGCTAATGTTTAGGACCAGCAAAAAATTAACCCGCATTTATAAGGCTGGGCATATGAGGTACCTTATTGAAGTCAATGTTGAATGTGAAGGTGGGGGACATCCTTCATGTGTTTTAGCTTGTCAGTCTTAAACAATACCTGTTCTCACCCTCCTTCTCTCTCCAGGTATATAAATTAAATGATGCTCTTTCCTTGGAACAGACATGCATGCTGCTTCAGGAGTTCTGTGATACATTCCTGTTCAGCGCTGTAAGGCCAACATTTTTAGACTTTGGTGTGCACCTAAATCTATCACTAGATCCTTAAATTTGTGACTTGGTTTTGAAGAATGCCAAGCTCCCACCGTTTCCAGAACAGCTAGCTGAAGATCTGAAGCCATTTGATAATGGCACGTTCTGGGCTTGGAATTTAAAGATGCTTCATAATGAGTCTTTTGGCAGAGACGGGAAGAAGTTCTAGGCTCTGTTTTAAACTATACATTGTTGATAGTGCTTTGTATGTTTCTAATTACTCTCGTCATATCTTCCCTTCATCATCTTCTGGGACTTTGTGTCCCAGATTTCTGGGCTTGGAGACTGACACCATTGTCTTCTCGAGAAGATCTCATCCAAATTGGAACTTCCATTCTGAGGGAGATACTGCCATTTACCAAAGATGTTCTGATTCAACATGAAATTTAGAATTTTTGAAATTTCCCCTGGAGGGAAAAATCTGATATTTTTTCCCTTCATTTTGGAGCAGTTCCAGCTTTTTCTCCTAAAAGACAATAGAGCCAGGTGCTCCTAATGCCTGGGATGTCCCGAGGCAGGCTCCTGGATTTGGGGGATAGGATGGTAGTCTAGAAGCCTCCAAAACTTTGGCTCCAGCTGGACAGAAAGGAGCCTGAAGTCCCGTGAACCCCTGCTTGAATTGAATCTCCGGGAATGCCAGACTTCTAGCAGTGTAGCATAACGTCAGAGACCCATCAGGGTTTCTAGGCTGCTGAGACAATGGAAAGGATCCTGAAGCCTTGAAAATACTGGTTTAAGCTGGAGCTCTTGGGGCTTTAGATTCCCTGCTGTAGAACTGAGAGCCTTGGCCCTGAGATACCCAGCTAGAGTTGCCATGCTCTTGAACTGTGAGCTAAGCCTCTGTTTGAATCACAGATCCTGCTGCTCCCAGGCCCATAGCTCTATGGCAGGTAGCCAGAAAGCCCTTGTGTCTACAGCTTTAAGGCTGATGGCATGGCATGGCATGGCATAGCTGCCCTAGATCCACAGACCCTGGTGTTCCTCAATCTGGCTCTGTTAGAAAAGTGAGTTTCCTAAGCAGCTCAGGAAGGTATGTGGCCCAAACCCAGGCAGGTTTCCATCAGAACTGTACACATAGGTCAAAAAGAATTTATCAAACCTAATGTATTTCTGCCAAACACTTTTTTTAAATGATTCAGCATTTTCTAATGAACTTGTTTAGGTAGAAGCTTTCTGATCAGCTCTGTCCTTGAGGCCATGACACTGTTGAGCAGGGACCATAAATTAGTGGTGCCTGGTCTTTTGGCCTTGCAGACCAGATGAGAGGTTTGGGACTGGTCTGCAGGCCAGATGGGGCCTGCACGGCCTAGATTGGGCTGTGGCACCTTTACTCAGCTCTGCACCACACAGACTGCCCTCATGCCACCCAGATTGGGCCTGCACTGCCTATACTGGCCCCATGGCACATCTTCTTGGCACTGTGCTGTCTGGATTGGGCCCGTGCTGCCCCTGCTTGGCCCTGCTCTGCTACCACACCCCTGCTGTCAAATTTTTGGTACCCTGGGGAGCCCTGCAGGCCAGATAGGATGGTTCCACAGGTCAGATCTGGTCCCCAGGCTGGGGGTTGAGCATCTGTGCTGTAAAACATAAAAAATTCCAAATGCAGCTGCTTTCACATAGTTGATTCCAAAAGAAAACTACTAAGGATAACTTAGAGTACTAATAGGATATCCATGTTATTCATGTGCTCTTATTCAATGGTAATTAATAACTGACATACTGTGAAGTGCATGGAACATCAGGGCGGCTTTAGCATTCTGCTTTAGTAGCTGCTTCATGTTTCCAGTGAGGTTCATCTCTTTCTTAAGTATGAAGTGCCACCTGTTGGAGAACTCATGAATTGTTACAGATCATTTTACATTTCATTTGTCCATTTTTTCCCCCCAAGAGTTTGCAAACACACGTAAATTGTGCTTTTGAGTGTTTGGCCCCAACATTGCTTTAAGGAATGAGGATATGGTGATGTGACCATGTTAATGCATATTATTATACAAACATTTTTACAGACATGGAGACTTAAAAGGGTTCTACTGAAATTCTCCTGGGGTTCATAAAATTCAACAGTGCTAAACCTAAAGGTAGGCCTGTTCTGTGGAAACAGTAGGTAGAATGATTTGCTGCAGAGCAAGTCATGGACCTCAGCCCTGTGTCCAGAAAGAGTTGAATGATAAAAAAAAAAAGTCATATGACAAATATATAGTTTGCATAATGAAATGTTCAGTAATCCCTATTCTGGCATGGGTCTGCCATGGTCAGATATGATGCTTTGTGACTGACTGTAGTGATGAGCCAATGTCACCATCTGCTTAGAATGCTCCTCTGCTATCTTCTTTGGATAGAGGGGGCATCCCTCTGTTGAAGAACAAATGGACACCAATCTGACATCAGTTCCAGAACACGGGCACAACACTTTAACCTTCCTGGGCATTCCACTACTGACCTCAGAATAGCTATTTAAACAACACTTTAAAAACTAACTTGAATATGAAATTGCAGAACAAGGAATCACTCACAGACTTGATTGTGTTAAGTACGGTCTCCACAGAGGCTCTGAATTCTTGTCCTGTTACCTGGAATAGCTTTTATAACCCGTGTCCCCCAGTGGGTTAACTTCTTTGTTAAGTTACTTAACAATCATCACTTCACATAAGGGAGCGGGGAACCAGTAAAGAAAAACCAAAAATATAGCAGGCCTAGTGGATCCAATAGGGGCAGGCTGGGGCTGTGGGGGAAGGGATAAGTGGCGAGAGGATAGGGGCTGAAGCTCACTAAGCTGCAGCCCCACAGGAAACTGGATGGGCTATGCCTGGGGAAGTTATGGGGGGGGGGGGACACGCACAAGGGCTGGGGAGACTCAAGCTGACTTATGTAGCCACACAATAAACACCAGGGCAGGGGTAGTGGACCACAGGACTTACCACACAGGGGCAAAACACACAGGGGAGCTGCTGAGGCAGGTTTAAAAAGATGGCTGGAGTGGTGGAGGGGCTTCGTTTGTTGAAACTCAGTCCAGGAGCCCCTCAGGCCTCCAGCCAGGCAGCGGCAGCAGGCAGGAAACAAAGCACAGAATCAGAGATGGTGAGACAGCTATGAGGGAGCGCAGGAGCACACAGCCAATTAGGGAAGTAATCCAGTGGAGCTGTGGTGCAAGGCAGCAGTGGTGGTAGAAGCTGTCCAGGTCAGCCACTCAAGGTGTGCTTCAGGTAAAGGTGAAAGTGAAGGTGGGGGGTGGGGTGTGGCCTGGTGAGGCAGCAGGGGCAGACAAGGCATCCTTCGGTGCCAGCAGCGATCGTAGATGGGGAGGGGCACAGGCGTCCTTCCCAGGCTGTCTTCTGACTGCGATTTGGTGGTGGACTGGGCAGCAATCCAGAACAGGGATTCAGAAGCTGGGGTGCAGTGCTGGGGTATGGTGCAGTATGGTGCCCCCACAAGCAGGGGGGCAGTGGTGTGTGGCAAAGGACACTCCCTTGGCAGGGTAGCAACAGCAGCAGCAGCAATGGCCTGAGGCAGGAAGAGGCATGGACAACTTCCTTCCAGAAGCTTCTGAGAGCAAGCTAGCTACAGCAGTAGCAGAAGCAGCCTGAAACTGGAAGGGGCATGGCCAACTTTCCCCAGAAGGTCCAAAGAGTAGGCCGGCTAGCAGCAGCAGCCTCCACCACCGAAGGTAGGAAGTGGCATGGTTTACTTCCGCTACAAGCTCCTAAGAGCAAGCTAGTATGAGCAGCAACAGCCTGGGACAGGAAGGGGCATGGCCAACTTCCCTCCAGAAGCCTCTCCCCCAGAAGCTCCTGAGAGCAAGCTAGTAGTAGCAGGAGTAGCAGGGACAGGAAGAGGCGTGGCCAACTTCCTCCCAGAAGCTCCTGAGAGCAAGTAGCCTTGAGCTACTTGCCAGGGCAGCTTTTTATACTGCTGGGGACAGCACAGGTCTAGCTTCCCCTGGCTGTAAATTCTGGGAGGAGCTGGGTAGGTTTATTTTGCCCCAAGTGGCACAATTTGCTCCACACCCAAGTGCATGTCCGAGCACATGCACTGAGGCAAAAATCCCTGGCTCAAATTAGTGCCATTTCTATTTGAGCTGCCGCAAGTACACATACCTGCATGTGTGGAGGCACCCATATGGTCAGTTTTCCATGAGAGAAATCTGATGGAAACAAAACAGAAATCTCTCCTAGGTTAACCCAGTGTAACTACACAATAATTCACAGGCTCAGATCTCCAGATGGTGTCAACTGGTATAGCAACATCATCAAGAAACTGATTTCTTTCAGCTGAGGTTTATTGTATTTTCTACCACCTTAACTAAAATCTTAGTTTTGTAGCTCATTTCTTCCTAACTAGAGTGTTAGAATTGTAATTGGCATGGAAGTGCTGTTAAAACCTTTATTGTAGTTACAGTATGAACTAGTCACATTACAATAGTAATGGACAGGAAGCTGTGAGCAGGGTTTCAAGCTCTTGGTTCTGTCGACTCTGGGAGATCAGTAGTCCTCATGAATCACAAGAACTGGAGGGATCAGTCTTCTTTTTAATTGGTCTTTTGTGCCTGTAAAGGAGATGGCAAACTGTTGGTTTCTGCCAAAAAGTTGCAGTTTGTAGAAATGGGTGATGAATCCAAACAAACTCAGTTAAGGGGCTGCTTATCCCTCTTGCCTAAGGGGCTGCATGGGAGAAAGTAACTTTCTGATAGCTTTTATGGCAGTGATTCTCAACCAGGGTAGTGCAGCACCGTGAGGTGCCTTGAGATCCTTTTAACAGTGCCTCAGGAAGCTACCCAATGTTAGCACTATTAGGTGTGCAAATACAATTCACAAGATAAACCCAGAGATTTCAAATAAGAACCCATACTGTAAAAAACATTCTGACCTGTTGGGGTGTTTTTAGTTCTGTGCAACAGAAATATTGCTTTATTGTTTTTCTGTAGTCAAAACACAAGCCAAGACAGGGGTAGGCAAAATGCGGTTTGTGGGCCAGATGCAGCCCGCCATGCCATTCTATCTGGCTCGCGGGGCCCCTAAAAAATTTAGAAAATTAATACTTATCTGCCCCTGGCTGCCTGTCATGCTGCCCTAGATGGCTTGCCAAACTCAGTAAGTGGCCCTCCGCTCAAAATAATTGCCTGCTCCTGAGCTAAGATCTAGCATTTTCTGAGGGATACCTTGAGTCTAAAAAGGTTGAGAACTAGTGTTTTATAGGATAAAATGTAAAGACTGTTTCTGTGCATGAAATATACCCTGCTTATTTTAGTAAAAGACCCACAAAATACTGACTGAATGAATACTGATGAATTTTTGAAAATCCCAGCCTGATTTACCTGATTCACTAAGGAGAGTGTGACACACTTTCCCCTTGTGATAGACTATGGGATTTCTTCTAACATTTCTGTTGTAAATGAGTTCATGTTGTTATAATGGTGTGCAACTCAGTTTACTTCAGTAAACAAAGAATGAAAGTCAAGTAAAGAATGAAAGTCAGGTGCTGGGGCTGGCTATATACAGGAAAAGATGAGATAGGCTTTTAACTGGGTGGTCTTTGCCCCAGTAAATGACTTGTTTGTAGAAGAGCTGTCTATATTTGCTGCTTGGAGCTTTAGGTTGTTCTCAGTCTCCCCAACTAGGGTCAGGACCACAGAGAACCAGCGGAAGGGAGACACCAAAAGGCCAGGGTCTCAAAGTGAAAAGGAGCCTGGGCTTCTCCCCTGCTCAAGAAACCATGCTTAAGCTGGCTTCAGGGGACACTCTCAGGCTGCTCTGACATATATAGACATGCTGAGGTGCATTCTAATTAGAACAATTAATTGAGTCTGCTCTGCATTTTAATTAGAATGTTCTAGCATTGCTGCAGTGTCATGTGTATTAAGCCCCACAATGTTTCAAAATGGCCGTGAGGGCGTTTTAACTAATGCTTGTTGGATGAGCTTTAGTTGAAGCATCCTGGCTGCTTGCAGACATTAACACCCTCCCTCCTTCCAAATAAACCTGCGCTTTACCAAAAGAAGCAGTGTATTACTTTGCCCAGCTCCCCAGTATCCATATAGATCGTGTGCGTCAGTGGGGCTTTTTGGCGCTTTTACTTAAAGCTGATTCAATCGGCTATTATAAAGAAGTGCCAAAACGACCCACTAAAGGGCTCGATCTATATGGATGTTGGCTGACCCGGGTCCAACTAATGCACTGCCTCTTCTGGGCATGCACTAGGCTTGGCGTGGGAGTGCACAGAATTTGAAGTAGAGTGCTCTTTTGTTTTGTTTTTTTAACATCTGCAAGGAGCCCTCATGGCCATTTTTAAACACACAGGGTGCTTAATATACATAATGCTGCAGGTTTTTAATTAGAGGGACTCTCTGGGAACTGCTCTAATTACCTCTCCCCCCCCCAAATAGGGTGACCACCCATCCCTAATTGGGCAGGACAGTCCCAGAATGAGAACATCAAGTCCTGGTCCTGGGTTGCATGACTCTGGGACAGCATTGTCTCAGATCTGCAGCATTGTGCAAGGTTCCAGGTTCCCCTCCACAGGCAGGCAACAATCCAGCCAGGGAGGGGAGCCCTGAGCCTGCAGCTGGCAACCCATATCTGCCCTTGCCCCACTCAGTGGTTCCAAGCAAGCATTCAAATGATCAGTCCCAGCTACCTGGCACTGGAGTCTTGAACCAGCTTGGGTGTGGTGCTGGGGCTAGGACTGAAAATCAGCAGCTTGTCAGCCTCAATCCCTGTGCCAGGGCTGGTTCAGGACTCCAGTGCAGTGCAAAGCTGGGACCAAAATTCAGTTGATTATTGATCCCAGCTCTGGGAATCAAAGATTAGGCAACCTGTAGTAAAAAGAGCATTATGGCTTTCTCCATCTGGCTACTAAACCAAAGTCAAAACAGGTTGGAAATTCTCTCCACTGTTGAGCTTTCTGGTGCATCCTAAAAATTAAAATAAGCCACAAAAGGATTAAGAGACCTATGTCAGGCAAAGCCATGGTGCTTGGATATGGAGCCAAAATTCCCCAAAGTTTGGGTGTGTTAGGACCAAAGGGTTCAGTTGGAGACCACCTCTGGTAAAAGAGACACTAGAAGGAAGAGAAAACAGTTGCTTAATTTCATTTCCTTATACCCTATGTGACTACAAGTCAGAGAAAATTACTATGTTCTAACAATGTGACTCAACAGTTTGATTGATCACTTGACTCCTGTCTCAAATACTTCCTGGCAAACCCTGCATTCATTTTTTTCTCACTAACTGTAAAAGGAACAACAAGCCCATAGGTCATTGTTTGGGTTCCTCCCATTCCAGAATATAAATGCTATCTCTAACAAAATGTAGTTCTGTGAAGAAACGTATTTTGGGAAACTAGCAAAAATCTTGCTTCAACTAACACTGTGGATAATGTAACAATGGGACAGATTCATAGTTGGTATAAATCTATATTAATGCATGGAACTGATAGAGCCTCAGTGGTTTGCACCCATGAAGGATATGGCCCACATATCAGTTTCCCCTTCAGTATGTCTTCATGGCTGAATTAACTAGATTGATCTATACACAGTGTACAAGATACTCCTCTCAAGTTGATGTAGCATGAATGAAGAGTGGCTCCACTGAGAAATAGAACAGAAAAGTTGCTGTTTTCAGACTGGTAGGATATGCACCTCTGAAGTGCTAAGTCCCCTAGGGGTCTTAGTGATGTAGTCAGCTTATGTATTTATGAATTCTTTCCCAGTGAATTGTGAAAGAGCTCATTTGTTCTTTCTGGGCACACAGAGGGAATTGTGGGAAGTCACTGGAGGACTAGTGCCTCTCTAATTTCTGCTAATAGCTTGTGGCCATTCTGCAGACTTGTCATTCAAGCAGTAGGTAAGTTGTGTTAACTCAAATTTTATTGTGTTCCCCCTCTCAGGTCAGCCAACTTGAGTTAAAACCATCAATGTGCTGAAGTTAAGGGCTCCTGTGTAGGAACAGGGCTTGAGAGTTGGGCAACATTTTAGCTACAACTCAAGGTAAGGCAGGGCTCATTCTTAGTATGGTGTACTCTGAATGCACAACCTCAGGACTGAAAAAAGCTATGGATTTATCCAGAGTGTACACTCACTCAAATTGAATACAAGTAATACTAAGAACACAGGGCTCTCAGTGCCACAGTATTAGTAGCCCCCAAATTGACTCACTCCCATCATTTTCAACATGTCTAGTAATCAGTTTCAGGGCTACTGTTGGAAGCTTTGAAAATGACTGGAGCATATCAGTTTCACAGCTGCTACTAGAAGCCTAGAAAATGGGGGGAGAGAGCAGCCCTGACCCTGACTAGTTTCTGTGTCATGATATTTTATTGCAGCCCTTTGACACCAGTTTCCTCTTCACTGTTTCAGGTGCCATTAGTGTGTGGTTAAATGGAGTACAAGTATAGTATGAAGTGGACAGCATGGATGAAAGATGTGACATTTCCTAATTTGTGCACTTAGCCTACGTGCAGGTAACCACTGTTTATTACAAGGTAAGCGGCAGAGAAAAAACGGATTGGCTTTGCATTATGTGGTTCAGTGTATTCACCATTTTGCTGATATGTGTATAGGAAGCATTTGCTCTATTATGTAATACAACATATAACAGAAAATATGTGCCCAGCCTCCATGTATTCTTTAACCTGTAACTACCAAGGCCCAGATGCTGGAAGTTCATGACTAACTTGTCATGAAATCAATGAGATTTAGGAAACTTTGGGGGATCTGGGACCAATGCTAAAGGCTAAACAAGTCACACTAAAAGCTTTTCTAAGGGAGGCAGTTCATTTTCTGAGCTCTCTAATACTCTCAAGCCTGTTCTTCACTAAAGGCACATTTACCAGATACCACATGCTACAATCTGCCAGGACTTAAGTTCCACATAGGATTTTGTACCTACCTATGAGTTGTTTTCTGGTTTCACATCTAGATCAACCTGCAGGACTCATAGTCACATGTGCGCCCAGCTTCAGCCTTAATCTGGAAAGGAGGCAAAGAAGTTGATATTTTTTTTGTAACCCATAGAAAATCATATGGAAAGGTTGAGAAGTGGTGAAAAGGTGGTCTGGAAGGAATTTTGTGTTAGAATTTGTGAGTAAAATTAATTCCTCCTTAGAGGACCAGAGCAAGACCTGGACACTGTTTAAGTCCTATTTTGGCTCTGTTTTGAGACAGTAGACAGGATGGTCCATAGGGTATGTGTCACCTCACTTTCCAGGACTAATTCATATGCTCTATAAAAGGTGCCCAATGCCAGGGAAAAGGAAAGGAGGGTCAAGAAATGACTTGTGATTATCAGTTACAATTTGCTTTCTGCTGTGATAAAAACATCACCCAACTCTGCAATGCCCCAGACTTAGGATAGATTTGGAGTCATTTTCTTGCCCATCATTTGGTCAAGAAAGTAATGATGGAAAGAATGGGCTGAAAAGCAAAGAAGAGTTGGGCACTCCATCAGAATATAGAAAGATTAAAAAACATCTATAAAACCTAAACTAAAGCATGTTCTCTTTCTCAGAACATATCATTTACAGCTCATTAAAACACCTCTTATCTAGCCAGAGCCTTTGAGTCTCACTGGCTTTTAAAAAGTATTCAGACAAACCTGAAGGTATCTTAAAAATAAAAATCTGTGAACTGCAGGTCATTTAAAGACTTGAATCAGGTGCCTCGGAAAAAGGATCCAATCCAATAGACTGTAGATCCTGTGTGGAGAGACTGTGGACTGAGTCACACAGGACTGGATACTCATTAACATCCAGGCAAATGTTTCTACATGTGCAAGTTCTTCCTGACAGGCAACAGCAAACTGGAGCTGGAGTTAAGGGTTTGTGTCTGTATTTGTGAGATGAGAACTGTTGGCCAGTCTAACTTGAAGCTGAGGACTGGCCGACACAATACCTTCCTGGACCATGAAAAAAATAAAGCTGTCGTGCTGGTAACATTGCCTTCTCTGTAGAGCTCCTGGCTATCTTCCAGGGAAATAACAAACACTAATTACAGTGCTTGAACCAGGAGGTCTTTATCAGCACAAATGACTACTACTGGCTGCCATCTGGTAGGACAGTCTGGGCAGTCATTTTGAGGATATCATCACTACTAGCTCTTCTTAAACACTCCTGGGGTGATTCTTCTTCCCAGGCTCACCTGAAACCAGTTTTAGTACTGATTGGGCATGTCTACACGTTAATTAATGTGCAGTAGTTACTGCACATTTAGTTTAGTATTTGTTTAATGAAGAACTAACTAAATGAGCAGTAACTACAGTTACTGCGCAGTAGCACCAGCGCACAGTTTTTTTGTGATGCTTACTCTGTAGTAGCCTAATACTACTGTGCAGTAGCATACAAGCACAGTTTTTGCCCGGCACGCTACTGTGCAGTAGTATTAGGCTGCTACGCATTAAGCGTCTCGCATAGATGCGCCCACTGAGACATACTATGGATAACCTGAAAAGGGAGCTAGATCAATTGTGCCTAGGGCTTGAGAAGGTGCATAATGTGAGGAGAGGGCAGAAGCAACATTTTCTTCACCAGGCCTCTATCAGGAGACTAAGGCATAGCCCTATTGTGCCCCACTGAGCCATGGTAATGCTGAGTTACTTCTCTCCAGTGGTTGAGTGAGGTGGATCAAGGGCAGCATAGTGAGAGCACATGGCCCATCCTTTTAAAGGGTAGTGGAACATCTCCTTCAATCTATATCCCCTGCCTTGCCTTGGAGCCATTATGGCTCCTGTACAGAATCTACTGCAGGTTCTAGGGATCCCTATTTGTAAGCATAACATGGGTGTCTTGAATTGTAGGATTTAGCCCTAAGTGCAGAGCTGGAGCAGCTGCAGAAAGAACCCTTTGCGAGACAACAAAAAAAATTCTACCCAGTGGGACTCACTGAAGAGTGTGGAGCAACAGCCCTCTCTTTACCTTCAAGTCACAGTACAATGGAGGTGAGTTCATAGTGCAGCACGTGGAGGCGAAGTTAGCTCTGTCCTCTACCAGCTCTGTAATATACTCTGGGGTGGCACCAGTCATAGTCTTCTGGAAGTTGTCTTTTAGTCTGCAATGTGGTTACACAGGTTAGATTTTACTGGCAGAACAAACACGGACAATTACACTGATTTGACTAATCCAGATGTAAACCTATCAGTAGTAAAGCGCTCATTGAGTTGGAGAACAGGAGTGGACTCTAGCGGGTGGGAACACTGTCCCCCTGCCTAGCAGTCTTCACTGCTGAGGTTCTGCAGGTGAACTAAAGCAGATCCCCCAGGGCAGACAACACTGCCTTGTCCTCTGTCAAAGGAAATCACGGGCACTTGACACAGGCCTGAAGTCTGAGCACTTCAGGTCCCTTGGAATGTTTCTGTGCTGAGACTGGGGAGGCATCTTTCTCTCAGTCAGGTTTCTGGTGCAGATACATTTATAAAACAAAATAAAATGAAATAAATTTGTATTTTTTAAAATCTATTGAAAATTTACTTTCTATGAGTATTCTCTATTTCACATTTCTAGGTCCCCAGGAAATTTTCTGCCAGTGAACTCAGCTACTAGAATATTTGTCACAAGGAAATGTAAACTGGTGAAGCAACAGCTAAAATAAAAAGTTCATATAGATGTTCATGACTTATTTAGGCAGTGTCTTGTTAGTCAAGCTCTTAGTTGAAGCTTTAGGAGAACAAGGGTAAAACAGGAGAATGAACAAGAGCAAGAATGTTTAGCAGGTAATTGTTACCTCTTCTTGAATTCCAGGAAAGTATTGTTAGTGTATTCTCCACAAAGCTTGTTTGCCTTTTCCAGAAACTGGGATACCTCTTTTTTGCCCTGACGCTTCTGTAATGCAGAGAGAAGAAACTATTTCTGTAATCTTTGTCACAGTGCGATGACCTGGTTTCTAGAGAGTTCTAGCTAGAGATTTTTTTTTTTTTTCCAAAAAGGAAAGGAGAATTTTGAGAGCAAGCTAAAAAGTCATTGATAGTTTGTGTTTGTGGTGTGTTAGGGTGTTGTTTGATGTGACCTCTGGCATAAGTTGAATCCACTTAAAAAGCAAGCATCCACATGTGTGAAGACTTTTGTCAAGGGTTCTCTGATCAGCTTAAAATTACACCTTTTGGGGTAAGGAGTGTCTTTGGCTAGTGCTAGGCAATATGTGTTGTCTTAACACGAGTCTACTTCACTATCAGGGGACTCTGGTGTGGTGGTGGGGGTGGAGTTTCAATAAAGCTGTTGGGCTCCCATTCCCACCCCTGTCCCTACTCCACCAGAGCCTTGCCAGTTCAAGACTCAATGCTGTAAGGTGCCTAGAAGCCTGACAGATAGCTTTGTTGGGCTTCTAGTCCTCTCCCTGCTTCTTCCCTCCAGGGCCTGGGAGCCTTGGGGCACAGACAGAAGAACAGCTCCCTGTTGCAACTCATAGCACTTTGCAGGTAGCTCTATGAGTTCCAGTGATCCCCCACACCCAACAGAAGTTCGCTGTTGGGTCCAGGAGTTGGGGATTCCAGCCGTTTGTTGTGAACCTGCAGTCCAGTTGCTGTAGCAACATCACTCCCCCTTCCCAGCCCAGACACTGTTTTCAGCTGGGAGAGGGGAAAGGGAGCAGAGACATAGGTAGAGAGAGGAAAATATTACTTGGGGGGGGCTGAGTGCGCGCATGCGGGCACACAGACACACACCACCCAGCAGGTAAATCTCTGGAGGAGAAGTGGCAGGAGATAGGGGAGGGGCAGATCAAGGCCCCCACAGTGAGGGAGGGAGTGGGGCAGGGGTAGGGGCTGGGGTGAATGGGCTTTGAGGTAGGTCATGGGATAATCAGTGCCTCTGCAGCTCATCCAGAGGTGCAGGGGGGCTCCCACTGCTGCACTCACCCTGGGGGAGGCACAGGGGGCACATGCCCCCTGGATTTGTGTGTGGGGCAGAGGCGGGTTGTCACTGTGGGCTGGGCTCTGTGCCCCACTGTTGTTGCCTTGAGAGCTGCATGACACCATGTGCCTGCTGCTGCCAGGCTGCGCCGTGTCCCCTGCTCACCCAGTGGCAGCAGACACATGGCATTGTGCAGCTCTTAAAGCAACTGCAATGGGGTGCAGAGCACAGCCCATGGCGGCAGCCTGTCTCCACCCTGCGCACAAATCTAGGGAGCATGTCCCCCCCCACCCAGTGCCTTCCTCGCTGTGCATGCAACCGAGGGAGCCCCCCCCCACACCTGAATGAGCCATCTAGACTCTGACCACCCCATGACCCACCATGGGTCCTTCACAGACTTGCCTGCCATGCTGGGCAGTGGTCTGCGCACCACTGGGCTGTGATCCTGGCTGCATGTGTGTGCCCCTCTCCCCCGCTGCAGCTGCATGGCGCCCACACGTAGGCTGCCCTGCAGCCCTACATGTTGCCACCGCTGCCCTGTGTTTGGGGGAGCTAAGCCCCATTAGCCCTGTCCTTCTGGAAATGGTGGGATTGGGCCCTTACAAAGTGGGCTGCAGCTGTATGCTTCTGTTTGGTCATGGCTGTAGACCACTTTCTGGGGCCAGATCAGGAGATAACTGTCACTTCTTCTGTCTGTGCCCTTGCTGGTTCAAGGTGTTGGTGTGGTGTGATGCAGGGTCATGGACCAACTTCCCTGCCATGCAGATGTAATTTCTAGCCTCTGTGCTGCATTGAAGCCTTGAACTGGCTCCCAATGTGGTGTAAGGGCTGCATGCTGGTATCACTCCTAGTCCTCAAATCACATACAGAGACTTGAACCAGCTTCCCTGTAATCCATGGGCTGAGATCTAAAAATCAGTTGATTTTTAGGTCTCAGCCCTGGGACCACAAGGGGACCCTTGAACTAGCACCTATGTGGTCTCAGGACTGGAACCCAGAGCTAGTTCTATATTTAGATCCTAGTGGGCACATCTGCATGAGACCCCCTTACTGCACAGTAGACTAATCTACTGGATAGTACAGTGTCACCACGTAACTACGTGCAACAGCTATTGTGCAGTAAATTAGGCTAATGTGCAGTTTTCTATTACTTGTAAGTATAAGGTTACAGATTAACTATGCAGTAGCTACTGTGCAGTACTGCTCATGGACATACTGATCAGGAGAAAATTTGCTCCTTGTTAACAACACCAAAACAGGGCCACAGGAGATGGGGGAGTTCCCTGTCCCCAGTCCTGGTGCTTCTTAGCTCCTGGCTCCAACTAGGAGCTGGGAGCTGACCCGCTATGGGATGGGGTCTGGGGAGTAATCTGCTTCCTTGTTCAGCAGAGGGCTCACTGGCAGCTGTCCTACTTGTGGGGCAGCTGCCAGGGAGCCCCCAGCTGGGCAGGGATTCCCTGCCCATCAGGGACAGCTGTCCTGCTTGTGTCCACAAGTGGGACAGCTCTGACCAGCCTTCTGCTAGGTGGGGAAGCCTGCTGGATATTGGGCTCTCTGGCAGCTGTGTCCTGATGTTCATGGGGACAGGAGAGTTCTGCCACCTGCAGTGGCACCTGTCTCCCAGCTCTGTGCACATCAGGACCCTTCCCAATATGCAAGGGGCCAGAAGATAGTTGTCGCTGCAGCTAGTAAAGCTCTCCTGGCCCTGTGCACATCAGGATTGGTGTCCATGACCCCTGGATTGCAGCTTCCTCTGGCTTCTGCAGGGGGGCAGACCAGGGCAGGAGCAGCCTGTGCTCCCAATAGGGTACTCCCAACAGGGTGCACATGTAGATGTGCTCCTGGGGAGGTCTTACTGTGCTTACTGTGCCTATTTCACATTAATAGCACACGTAGATATGCCAAGTAAGCATTACCTCGGGACTGCTCAGCAAATTTTCTAAGTTGTATTTATACTTGCTATGGTCTAATATAAAATATGCTAAGTGTAACATGTAACAAAACATTTAGAGAGAGAGAGAGAGAGAGAGAGAGAGAGAGAGAGAAATATGAGTAGCTGTTACCTTGTTGTTCAGACAACCAGTGACATCCACAGCACGACAACATTCATCCATAACTTTTTTTGTAGCGTCATACAGCTTGCTTAGGAAAACCTCTGGGATGCTGGTGTACCTCCGTGATATCTCAAACATGTATCTGTATCAGGACCAGAAAACCATTTGTGTGTTTTCATAGGGTCAAATTAAAATGGGGTCCCTTGGATCAGTGCTGCAAACAAAAGTTAGCTAAGGCTACCTGACAGCTATATAAATAACAAGGATTCTTAGTGTAGTGAAGGCATGGGTGCCTAATATTAAAACTGCCTGACACTTTCCTTTAGTAATAGTAGTAGCACTGTTGCTGTTGTAAAGGGCAGGAACTACATCTTCGTATGTATGTTTCTGAACAGTTCAATAGAGCTTTGATCTTTTTGGGCTAGAAGACTTTAGGTGGTACTCCTGAGAAAGAAAGGACAGTCTGGGTAAAATACAGGCTTGGGTCCTAAGAGATCTGGGCTTTACCCCTGGTGCTGCTGACTGTATGATCTTGTGTAAATTATTTAAATTCCTCTGTACCCTATTTCAAACACTGAGATCACAATAGTTCCTGTTCCCCAAACTTTTGCCTTTTTTCTCTATATAGTTTGTGAACTCTTTGAAGTAGGGACTCTCTGACTAGGAAGAACTCTTAACACAATGGTGGCCCCATTTCACTTGAGGTCTCTTATACTGTATATAACACAAATAATTATCATAAAACCAAGATAACGAATCTTGTTTTCATGAGCAAAGACAGAATCAAAGTGAGGATAAGCAGATGAACCTTCAGTAATCTTCCACAACAGCAAGAACTGTTGACCCCCAGCCTAGCAACTTAAGGTCCATAATGGTCTACAGAAACTGCTGTTCTGTCTCGTTCAGAAGGAGGATATTGAGATTTCTTACCTATATGAGTTCTGGTCCCTGTCTTCACTACAGAGCTGTTCATTTGTTGGTGTATCAATGTCAGGCAATGATGTAACTTTAGCATGTTGCAGTGAATATATGCACAAATAGTCTTGCATAAGATTTTTTCCCTGGCAGCAGTCAGCAAATTTTTCATCCTTGGATGATAATGTGCTGCAGATTTTTGTGGTGTGTTCTGATAACTATAAGGAAAAGTAGTAGTGAGTTTGTGTTTCCAACTATGGTAACACTTGGCATTTTATAGTGGTTTAGATCAGGGGTGTTAAACCCTCTATCCCGCAGACTATACTTAGTGCCCAGAGTGCTCACTCTGGCCAGTCTGGAACTGCACCACATGGCTCCTGCTCTGGCCCAATTGAGATGTGAGACTCACATGGTGCCCACTCCAGCTAGTCTAGGGTGGATGTCGTGTGCAGCACAGGTCCCAGAATGGCTGGAGCAAATACCAGAGCCAGCATGCAGGGGAGTCACAATGTGTCGGAGCAGACTCGATTAATCGAGTCTGCTGGAGTGTGGAAATTAACGTGCTCCAGCAGCCTCCAGCGTCATGTGCATCAGCATCCTCATGCTGAAAAGTATCATCAGGGTGCTTTAAACTAAAGCTCATTCAACAAGTTTTAGTTCAAAGTGCCCTGCCACCATTTTTCAGCGTGGGGTTGCTGATACACGTGATGCTCCTGGCGCTTTTAATTAGTGTGGCGCTCAGAGTTGCGCTAATTAAAGTGCCCCCCCACTGATGCCTCCCAAAGCATGTGCATAAATGCCCAAAAGGCCTGACCGCAGATTTATCTGTATTTGAAAATTAGCTTGACCCTTTCTTAGGGGTCACAAACCATCACAATACATAAACAGAGAAATAGATGTTTTGGGCAATATGTTTTGTAGTAGTGTGATAGGGTTGTAGCTATAGTTTTAGAAATAGGTTAGACAAATACTTAGATGGGATGCTTTGATAAGAATAATTGTTGGACTGGACATAACACCACCTTAGAGATGTGAAACCAAACAGCAAATATAAAAGCAGAAGGTAGAGCATGAGAAATCAAATACAGTTACTCTTGTCACTCAGCAGAGATGCCACTTCCATGATGTCTTTGCAATCACAATAATCAACTGAAACGAAGGGTAAAGGAACCCAAAGGGAATTAAGAAGCAGAAACAAAAATGCTGCTTTAAAGAAAATTGTTAAGAAGTGTATGCACTTCCAATCAACTTTAGTGGGATTGTCCCCAGCCTCAGTTGGAAATGTCCCAATTATGTGAGATTTCAAATGCAGCTGTACCAACAGCATGATGAATGTGGCATGGCTCTGCAGTGGCAGGGGGATGGGCTTAGTCAGTCTCTTCCAGTTGGCAGTGTATGCCCCTCAGTTGATTACACTCCTGGGTATGGGGGAATACAAGCCAAATTGTGCTGTTAGTATGACCTCCCTCTGAAAGCCAAGGAAGCAAAAAGAAAAAGCAGCTCCCTTCTTTCCTTCCTCTTCTGGGTTGTGGATTCAAAAAAATGCCTGGTACCAGCATTTTGTCCCATTAGTTATGTATAGGATTCTAGGCTTCCTACCTCCTTCTGCACAGAGTCTTCAGTTGTTGAATTACAGAACTTGGAAAACACTTCAGCAGCATCTTCAGCCAGAGGTAAAATTTCCTCAAATGACGCACATGGTATCTTCTGAGAAAACATGACTAAAGAGCTGGACAGTCAAAACATGCAGAAAGGGATGAAGTATTTATTTTAAGGTCTGTCTAACATTCTTATATACTGTCTGCTGATATTGGTAATATGTCTTCAGTATGATTTACTTATGGAGATTTGCATGATGTATACTATGCTTGGAGGACTGGCTACAAAAAGAAAGCCTACTATTTCACTACAAATGTCAAGGTTACACATTTTGTTTTTGTTCTCATGTGGAAGGAAACTGAGACCCTTTAACATATTTCATGAAAAAGCTGAGAGAGAGATCTTGACCCACCCCAGGATAAACTAGAAGTTAGGGCACAGATATATGGCAGGCCCATTTCCAAGCCCCTGCTCTAGCATAGGCAGTGAGGGGACTTGAAAAGAATCCTATGTTACCCTCAGTGACTGCCCTCACTTCTGGGTCACTGGCTATTTTAGGGTGGGTGTGTTGGGCCCCCTCTATACTTTACAGGTATCACACAATTAACTGGTTAATTGAACAATTACCTTGAGATCAGCTCCACGTAAAAATACTTATCATGCTTTAACCAGCTATAAATTTAGACCTAAAAAATCTGTACTAACTTTATAGCTGGTTGCCACTGAGCTTTCATTTGCACATGTAGCAGGGTCTCCTTGTGGCTGGAAGCCCTGATAGGGATGCACCATGCGCAACTGAGGCTGGGAGTTCCTCAGCTAAGGGGACTCAACCCCAGTAGCTGTGGATGCTGGATTCCAGCACTATGCCTCCCCATGTCAGGGCCCAGCTGTAATGATCTCCCAGCTTCAGGATCTTTATACACCCTTGGGGCTTGGAGATCATGGAAGCTGCAATCTTCCAGCCTGGGGGGAGGAGGGGGGGATGGCCCCAAGCCTGGAAGCCCCTAAGATGAGGGGGCTGTGGGAACTTGCTTTTTGCTGGTGCAGGGGAAGCCCAGGATTGGGCTCTCACTGCAGCAGCAATAAGGAGCAATGGGATCTAATGCAGGATCCCACAATCATGCCTCCTGCCAAGCATGTGTGGCATGGCAAGGAGGTATGACTGTGTGGATTGTGCATTAGATCCCATTGCACCTTTACCTGCATGTGTGGAGGGGGCCGTGGTCTTTAGTTCTGTTGTTTGGACTAGAAATCCCAGTCAGGACCTGAGAAACATTTCTGATGAACGTTTGGCCAAAGCATTACGTTTCCATGAAAAGCATCAATTTTGAAAATTGATCCCACAATCTTGCCTCCTGACCAAAAACCTGTAATCAAAATTCCCAGCCAGCTACCCATGAAAGGCTGCAGATGATTTGAGAAAAACCCCAGTCAAATCCTATCTATTCTCTTCTGCATATTTAAGCAAGAAAAAGTGCAACAAAGACTTTTAATGCCAACACTTTATCATTAAATCTACTAAGCCTACTCACACACTCCTTAGTTTTTAAGTACAGGCTAAAAATGAAAGGGCAAGGAAGCTGAAACACTTAATATGAATAAACATGAAACTTTGGGGCAATTCCTGATTTTTTTTTTTTTTTTTTGTATCTTGCTCCACCTGTGCAGAACAAACTGTGAGTACAGTCAGTCAGAAGGCTGTCTGAGCAACTACTGTGTTCTGTGCAGAGGTGTAACTGGCCAGTACTATGCTCTGGGCAGTGCTGCATCCCTTTCCTTCATCTCCCTGTACCACTGGTGCCTACCCTGCAGTGGCTCCAGCTCCAGCAGTGAGAAGAGCAGAGCAGAGCAGAAGCAATGCCGGAGCAGCAGCTGGTGGTTTGCTGCTTCTGGAGGAGATGTCATATTCTTTTTTTGCTACCATGTGTGTCAAGTGGTTAAAAAACCTACAAGTTCTTGGCAGCAAAAAAGGAGGTTCAGGAAGAAGGTGATGGGGGGACCCCTAGCTCCATTTTGGCATCACTCTGTCCTCCTTAGGCAGTGGCTGGGACTTGTGCCCCACTCACTAACCCATTGTTATGCTATTGGTTAGCTGTAAGTAGAGGCTACCTTTAGCTTGTTGTAGAGACAAAAGTAAGTTGGAAAACACCCATTACTGAAGTTAAAAACCTAATTTAAGTGTTTCAGCTGGGGAGGACAAAGACCGGTACTCTTCCACATGAGTGTATACATTTGATTCCCTCCCTCCCTATGTAAGCACTTAAAGGAATGGCTTTGATTTGCTGAAGACTAGTAATTTCACATGGGGGACTCTTGTGCTGTGGTAAATGGCATCTTTATATCAGGCCCATAGCCTTGCATCAGGGCCCTAGCCTAATCAGTACAGCTATTTAATCCAACCCATCACCCTGCTGCTAACCTCAAAGGCTAGATGAGGCTCGCCTACAGCCTCCACCAGTTCCCAAGTCTCCACACACTCCTTGACATGTGAATGGCTGGCTCTTGTCATCTGACCCTACACTTCCCTTATATAAACCCAGGGAGAAGAAGTATGTAGGCAACAGAGCTTTTTCTGATTTCAAACTGCACTTCTGATAACTGTTTACTTCCTGACATTCTGGTTTCCTGACTCAGCTTGCTCATAGACATGTTTCAGTTCTCAATCTCCTGGTTACCTGATCAGGCTTGGGTCTAGATCTGCCTACCCTCTCTGATTAGTTTGTACTGCCATCCAGTAACCTTGATCCCTGATTCATCTCCAAGCCCAGCCACTCATATCCAAGCATTGACGCTGTATTAGGCTGCCAAAGTGTAGATTAAGGACCCTCTAAACCCAGACATGTGAATTTGTAAGAATTAGCCTAAATATTTGGAGTTATGGAACTCCAGAGATGTGGTTCCATATCCAGATTTAACTCTGGCACCAACAGTAGCCATGATCCTTTGCCACTGATGATTGTAACATTATTTCATGCCTTACTTCCTGTTTATACCACTTACCTCACTACCTATGGGCCATGTTCCAGATCATCCACTCTTTACAAGCTAGTGACACTAACACTGCTCTTCCTGTTCTCCATTTAAAAACCTATTCCACCTTCCCAGATTAGTTGAGAACCTGTAACATTAATACCTCATCCTTTGTGTCCAGTCTACAAGACATACTTTCTTTATTCACAATTCTTCTATAATCCATAAAGTCCTGTTTACTCTGCTTTCATCTATATACACTAGTGCCATACATACTTGCATATCACACTCACCTTTTTCCCAAAAGTTAACCAAAATTGGGGTGCGGGTCTTAATCAGGAAAGCTAATTTTTCTGCCCAGAACAGAAGCATGGAGATAGTGTAACATGACTACTGTTTCTTTCCCTTCTCCTTGCTTCACCAGTTGCATAGAGGTAGGGGCAGGGTCCAACAGGGTCAAATGTGAGGGGGTGGGAGGGTGCAGTGATGTGGGTGTACCCTGATTTGATTTCTGTTTAACCAAAGTTTAAACCAACTATTCAGCATGAACAGTGCCATTTCTATTCAGGCAGCACTGATGGAGTCAATTGACTTCATGGCTCATTATGATCTACCTGATCCCTGATAATTGCTCTTCACTCCACAGGTGTTAACAACCCTCTTTTCTTTTATATGGTCTTCATGTTCCACTAATCAAGCTTTCCTTCCTTCAAAAATGTTACTGTCTAGTAGCTACTCCTGGTTTCTCTTTTATTTCACAGGCTTGCAGACTGCTTTTACCTCTCTTCAAAGTACTAGATTCACCCATGGAGTCCAGCAATACTAGAGTTTTAGCTTTTGGCTGGGCAGCCAAGAGCTGCTAACAATTCAGTCATAAAAGGGTTAAAACTCAAGTTTTTGCTTGAGCAGGGAAGGGATAGTGAGTAAGTTGAAGATCAGGCTTTGTCCCTATTCTATTCAGCCACAATGCTGGAAAAATATTTTTTCTTCGTTCTGCCTTCCCCAAAACAATGTGCCTGTTTTATTCAGAGACATTTGGTATGCAAGAAAATCTGACATAAACTTCTCAATTAACCTTTAATAAGAACACAAGATGCCAACACACATGTACTAGTATTGCATTGTTTAAAATAATTGTAGGGCCCACCTAAACAAGAACATCATAGCTCTGACAGGAGAATGGTAGTAGGTTAAACGATTTGCTTTGCACTTCTACAAAATACACAAAACCCTGCTTTGCACTCATTTATTTTTCTAACCCTATTCAAATATAAAAACCACTGAAATAGGAAGCACTCTAAAACAAAATATTTTAAATTCTGATCTGAATTGTTATTGGATATATGGTATTTCCTTTACCTGAACTTGGTTTTTTCCTTTCCATATACCGCAAGTTGAGAACAAACTCTGTTTGCCATTCTAGTGGTTATTGAGACAGTTTTTCTTTCCAATCTCTGGGACAGAAAGGAAAAGAATTGTATTAAGCAGACATTATCCATTGGTGGGTCCAAAGAGGATGGAGCTAGACTCTTCTTAGTGGGGAAAATGACAGAATAAGGAACAATAGTCTCAAGTTGCTGCAAGGGAAGTTTAGGTTAGATATTAGGAAAAACTCTCTCACTAGGAGAGTAGTAGACACTGGAACTGGTAACCCAGAGAGATCGTGAACTCTTCGTCCTTGGAGGTTTTTACATCTGGCTAGACAAAGCCTTGACTCGGATGATCTAGTTGGGGATGGTCTTGGTTTGGGCAGGGTGTTGGACTAAATGATGTCCTGAGGTCCCTTCCAACCCTAATTTTCTATGATACTGTGACTTGTCATGACCATTTCCTCCCACTTTTGAGACTGCAACAAGATCAAGGTTTTGCTAAGAGGGATATTAACTATTCAGTTGTCACAATAAAACTTGTTATAGATCCTGTTTTTATTGTCTGTGCCAGAAGGATGCAGAGTTCCCTCTGATATACCAGGTTTGATGACTACAGCTGCATGAAAAGCTCACAGTGAAATATCCTGTCACCATTCCAAAGCAATATTAGATTTTGGGTTGAATTACAAAGCTATGATGTAAAAAAGTGATGGCTTTAGCTGAGTGTCACTTTGAATTATGGGTTTTCCTTAGTTTAAAACATTAAAGCTATATTGAAAAAGTTGAGATTCTGTGGGGATCACAAGCAGAAAAAATACTCCTACAATGGTGAAACAAAACCAAAGAGATCCATACCTGCATAATCCTGGCTAAAAGTCAGTGGATATCAGACTAAATTCATATCCTTTGGTTGCTTTTCTGAAGTCATCCTGAACATTTTGAGATTCCAAGATTATACAGGGCACATCTACATGAGATGCTATGTTGCCGTAGCGACAAGCTACATTGCCGTAGCTCATTGCTATCACAACATACCACCAGCAGGCACGAACTGTGATCCTGATGCTACTGTGCAATAGCAATGAGCTAGTGCACAGTAGAGTCGGAAACAACCCGTGTGGCGTTGGGACGGTGCCATGACGTCAGTTGCTGCTCAGTCATTTAGTACTTTCTTAAGCAAGTACCAAATGAGTGTGCAGTAACAACTGCACAGTCTGGCACATGTGTAGGAGTGCCCACAGGACATTTAATTTATATTTCTATCTGTTGGCTTTTTTCCTTACTCACCCCTCTTTGATCAGAATTGTGTTAAAGTTAAAAACAGTACAAGAGATGACTTGTTAGGAGTAAAAATAACAGCTTTTTTACTGTAGTAAAAACTTGCAGGGATGGATATGCTTACCTCTTTCAAGAAGCAGATACCCGGGCTTGGTGAAATGCAGCAAGTTGAAACCATAGACAAGTAACTTCCTGTAGAAGCTACTAACAGCGGCAAAGGGGCTTGTCCAAAGTTACTGGAATACTCGTACAGAAACCTAGAAAAGAGACAGTACATGGCTGGAAAGTTTAACTCAAGGAGCGGGATTTTTACAAGCAAGTAATGGAGTGGGATGCCCAATTCCAAAGACCCGCTTTGCTGAACGAGACGTTGTATTCATGTAAGACATAATGCTGTTAGTGGGATCATGGCCATCTTCCAGCATATTCAGGAACACTTTCTATTGGTCAGTGAGCAATGTTTTCTCTAAGGAGTAGCGGTCCGTGACTGCACTACTTCAGAGCCGGTGGAGCCCACGGAGCAGTTCCCCCCATGCTTGCCTGTGCATGCAGTGGCAGGAGCTGCCCTCCCCGCATCTCCGTGACCCGCAAATGAGTTGCTCACAGCTCCATCCCATGCCCCACACTGGCTGGGCAGCGCCTGTTAGCACCCCTTCACTTCAGCACCCATGGCAGTCATCCTGCTTGCCCCCACCTTGCTATGGCACAGTGTCTTCCCTCTCCCCTCCTCCCCCTATAATGGGGTAGAGTGCCAAAGGGAATCTATGATGTGGGGAACAGACAATGATTTTGAAGAGAACTATTTTTTGTCAAGACTAAAAATATAACCAACAGCCAAACTTTTATCTATTTTATTTAGCGGTCTGTTAGGGCTTCTTTTTCCCTAACAGCTTGCTGCAGAGCTCAATATTTTTCCATTAGTAGCTAGTGAGTAGTGCTCTGTGGGCTCTGCTGGATCCGGGGAACTGGTTTGCTCTCCAGCCTTGACACCACCTGCCTCCTCAATCCCTGAAGCGATGCAGGGGTGCAGAGCACTTCCCTGGAGCTGGCGGAGCCCACGCCAGCCCCCAGCCCTGACCCTGTCCCCGTCTTGGCAAAGAGCTGCTGCCTGCCCTGCATTGAGGAGCTTTCCTAAGTGGCCCACGCAAGCCCCAGTGCCTGTGCTGCGCTCCGTGCGCTCTGCGCTCCATGCTTTGGGCGGGTGCGTGGCAGGAAAAAGTTCGTGCACGGCAAGATTTTTAATTGTGCACGGCCACGCATGCGTGCACCTTAGAGGGAACACAGTCAGTAAGCACTTGCAATAATTTCTAATCAGGAATCCATATACAGTGACTGTCAGTGGGAGCTTAGGTCTTGAATCCCTCAGGCACATTAGGAAATCTCAGTGTTTTTTGCAGATGCTATATACATTGCTCCTTGAGTAAAAATGGAGAAGTAAATGATGGCAGCCATAAACATAACATTCAGACCATACAACTCACTTAGCCAAACAAAATATCCAGGTCTACATCCATGTGAATGTATCAGTGCTCCACAAATTGACGTCAGGACACAAATACTGTAAGAAGTTGCCTACTGGTAGGAACTTGGCAATAGGAATCAGAGTTAAGGTCGGCCTGACCTTATGGGGGCCTAGCCATCCGGATGTTTTAAAAGTTGTTATGCTCTCCAGTTTAGCAATGTCTTTATTCTAGTCAGATGAATTAATAATTAGTGTTAATAAACTACCTTTCTTGGCATGAATGGTATTGACTGATTCAAATGCCAACCCTGACAAGGAACTTGCATAAGTTTTGTGAATGGAGACATTATATTTATATGAGGCATAATGTCCCTTATAGGATTCTGTCAACATGCTACCCTCTCCACTGTTCCCGTGGGCCAGTGCTATTTTAACCATGCATCCTTCATGTTCTCTACACACTATTTTCTGCTGAATTCCTGTTCCTGTTTGCATGGAGAAAGGGTGTGAAAGGTCCCCCACCAACCTCTTCTTCCTGCCTCATACCTACCCACACAGTCTGACAATGTAGAAGTGAATTTAAATACTACACGTTACAAAAAAGATAGGTACAGGCCCAACTTTTTGCAATCTTAGGTACTTAATGAAGCAGATTTTCAAAGGCATGCAAGACCATTGGATGCTCAGCTCCTACTGACATACAGGGGGAGTTTGAGTGCTCACACTGCTGTTGTGCCTTGAAAATTCTCTCTCTCCCCCTGCTGTGCCTTACCTTCTTCATTCAGGGTCTGTCAGATAATGGGTGTTAGGCATGCTCTGAACAGTTCAGTTCCCCTGGCAAGTTCAAATGTTCCCCAACATGAACCCCTGGGGCTCCTTATGCTACGGCTTGGGGCAGGGCTCTGGGCAGCTTGTTCCTTGTGAGGTGGCATCAGCACTTGCATGTCTTTATCCATGCAAACCAGCAGAAAGTTAGGCAGTCAGGGGGCTTAGACATGAATGAGGTTATGTGACAGCTTTGAATTTTCAGTGGTGTGTGAGTGGTACAGTTAGGGCAGAAAAATGGCTTCCTGGTTCTCCATGATTTCATTTAAATATTTTTGCAATTTAGATTAAGTATCCATTGGTTCCTATCAATACAATCTTTGGATGGGCCAGGGACCATCCAGCACAAAGGATAATCATAGGAATCATAGGAAAGTAGGACTGGAAGGAACCTTATAACATCATTTAGTTCAGCCCCCTGTTCAAAGCAGGATCATCCTTGACAAGTGACTGTCTAACCTGTTTTTGAAAGTTTCCAAGGATGGAAATTCTACATCTTATCAAGATAGCCTGAACACCCACCATAGTCAGAACACCCTTATATTCCTCCTAATCTCCAACCTATATTGCCCCCGCTGCAATTTGAGGCCATTGCTCCTAGTCCTGTTCCCTACAGCCATAAAGAAAAGCTCATCTCCATCCTCTCGATAAGCACTTGTCTGGTATTTGAGGTCTGTTATTAAATTCCCTGTCTTCTCTTCTCTAGGCTAAATAACTCTAGTTCTTCCAGCCTTTCTTCATAAGTCTTTTCTCCCAGGACCCTGACCATTTTTGTTGCCCTGCACTGGATTCTTTCCAAACTGTTCATGTCCTTCTTGAAGTGTGTCCTCGATAAACCTCTGTCAACAATTTAACTTCCATTTAGTAAAGTGCAGCTGACATTTGCATGTGTCTAGTGCATTTGGCTTAAAAAACAATTAAAATAATTTAATTTGGGGGGAGGGGGATATATTAAAGACACCTGAATCCAAAATTAAACTCAGCCTTTTAGCACTTACTTGTCTGCAAAGTCCTTGGGATCTTTCTTGAAGGCATCACAGAGTTCTTCATTCGATGGCTCCACATAAGTAGGAAACTCTTTGGGTGGATGATGGAGGGCAGCCAAACAGAGCTTTTTCTCTAGACCTTGGTGAGTACAGCAGTCTGCAGTTCCGGCATGCATAGGGAAAGGAGAATTTTCATCACAGGATTTGTCAGACAGTGCTGAAGACTAGTGTGAGATGGAGGGAAAGGAACAAAAGACTGCTAGTACCCAAGTTTTTAATCTAGTAGATAAGTCCAGTTCTTACATTTTTCCATATGTAAAACATTACCACGGTCTACGAGTGAAATCCATTCCTCCTATCTACAGCTCAATCAATTGTGGTCCTGGTCCTTAAAAGCATTCCCCTGGAAGTGAAGCAGCACAATACTTTTGATGGTCTGGGCCTAGGAAAGTGCATGTGGATTACAGAAGGCAAACCTCTGCCCCTAACGTAGGGATATCCGTGTAAGTCCATAATGCAGTCTCATATAGCTTCGACTTCACTCCTTTGAGCTGTACCAGTTCCTACAACTCTTCCCTGTGGTTTGTTGGACCACATTATTTAGTAGTTCACAGTAAACCAGAGTATATGCCACAGAATTATTTCCAAACGTAATGCAGTCCTAGTAACAGGAGGACTCCCTCTATGCTTCATTCTTGAAATGGGACAAGACAATTCTTTGTAGGAGTGGGTAGCTTGAGTGAGGACACAATGCTGGCATCTGACGGACACACTCTGACGGGAGGATAACTGCAGCATTTCAGACACTGGTGCATGGTCAGTAGGAAGGGCTGGGGTGTGAACTCCTAATGAAAACAAAACCTGCAGTGACTCTTTGGTGGTATGAAAAGCAAAATCTAGCCCAAAGCAGACGTGCTTTTGTTGCTCAGAGTTAAATTTGGCTGCTGTGTGTTTGGCTGCACAGGCTTTCCTGTAAGATGATCTGGTGCATTTCTGCTGTGGATGATACAGACAGCATTTGTGGGGCTGTGCAGGATATGTGTTGCAGAGACTGCTGGCATGTGTAAAGGAAGAACCAGGGAACCTAGCATTTATTTCCTCCAGTACTCTGTCTCACTTGGCATGGAGAACTATTTAGCTACACAGTACAAATATCTTCCACATGGTGGTTTGGCAGCTCCTCTGTCACTGGGCATATGTGTGCATCTGCTTATGCTCTGTTTAGCTACTGATTGGGCACTACAATGTTCTTAAGAGGAAAGAGGCTCCAGCAATGGGCACTATAGTTACTAGAATTTGGGCACTTTGTTCCAGTGATGAATCAATCTATTTAGATATTGGTCATACTCACATGGTTTCCAACTACATTTTGTATTTCTCTGGATTTCACTGAAATATAACAGTGATCTCAGGAAAAGTGGTCCAAACCTCATTGGGACCTTCCAATCATACTTTGAATACTATTGTGGATAAGAATTCTTTTAAACACTTTTATTACATAAACAGAGGAAAAGTGCCCAAATCAAAACTGTAAGTGAAGATACCCCGAATATTTGGCAATGTTAGGGTATGTGTATTGTTCCTTTAAGTCTGTAGCAGGAAATCAGGGAAGGTTCTAAGGAGAAGCTCTGGAGTGAAGGACAGAGGGAGGGTATGGGGGGGGGAAGGGGGGGTCAAATGTATATTAGGGCTAATCCCTGCTCTCCCTATTTCATTTAAATTCTATACTTCCTATGAATTTTAATGATTGGCATGTGAGGGGCTGCTTGAAATCTGGATCTGAATTGCAGAGCCCATCTCTATCAAATATTTGCTAGTATATAATATTTGCTATTATATATTAATATTCACTGAATAGACAGTGAGCCCTGCTTTCTTTCAGACATAATTACCATTCTTTTCCTGCCTCCATGTATATTTACCCATCCAATGTTTCCGCCCCCATTTTTCCATTAAACTTTTATTGGAATTTAAACAGCCTCCCATATCAATAACAATGCATATATTGGAAGGATCATAGACTTTCTCCTTGTTAAGCATGTAATGATCTACTTATTTAAGGACTATTGTTTATGCACTAGATGTCTCTGTATGTCATACAAAATTGCAGATAGGATGGTGCCTGGTAAACAATGGGCAAAAAGCTGATACTCACATTGTATGAAAGACTGTCTGCCTACACTCAGAAGCCATTTTCTGTAATAAATACTCCCTGTTCAAAATGCTTTTGTCTCTACAGATCATGACAATATTTATATAAACCTACCCCCTCATCATAGCAGTTGGGATCAGCCCCTTCAGCACAACATGTTTCTACAAGGGAGACCATCTCTTTCACAATGTGACTGATCTCTTCAAATGTAGCATTGGAGAATTTCTTGCTATTCATGATGATTGTTCTGTGAGCAAGCAAAAGGTAAAGATTTAAGAAAAAGTTTGAGGAGTATTTATTTTTCTCTGAAATGGTGTGGAAATAAATCTGTCTAAGAGCCTTATTACACATTGCATTTTAAGCTGCTCAAAAGTTGATTGGTGTTAGTGCTAGCTTGAGTCTGGAGCAGTCATATCTTAAGGTTACAAACCTTCCCTGACGGTCCCCTTTGTGACTTGCCACTAGAGGGCTGGCAAATAGGGGCCTGACTACAAGCTACAGTTGTCAGTTCCCGCTACAGGGCTGGTGAGCCAGGCCAGGCTTCTATTGCTGCTCTAGGTGGGGGTGTGGGGAGAAATGGGAGTGGGGTGGGAACATGAATCTGGGAGGTAGAGAATTAATGGGATGGTGGTGGGTAATGAAATGGGAGGTGGAAAGGAAATGGGGGTGGAGGAAGGTGGTGAAATGAAGGAAGTCAGCCACTAAAGGATAAAATAAGTATTAAAAAAAAGAATTTAAAAATAAAAAGGGAGTAAATTAAAGATAATCTCGTTTTTAACAAATTGGGATTTAGGTTTGGGGTGTAGGGGGTGCTGGTTGTGCTTTTCAGGGTGGCTGGGAAGTAGGAGTAGTAAGGGAAGGCACTTTTGGGGGAGTTACTGCTCCTGCCCAAGACGGGAAACCATAGCTCATGGGGGCCCAATCCGGCCCCCTACCTTCTTCCTCCCTCCCACTCCATGTAGATCCCACTCCTGGACCTGTCCATGACCTGTGACCTGGCTAGGTGGCATGTGCTCTGGAGGCTGTTTACATGGGGTTGCACCCCTTGGGGGGAGAGGGGGAAGGTCACACCTCTGGGGACAGGAGAGGCAGTTGTCTTGATGCCAGAACCACCCTTGGGCAGTAGAGTTCAGGGGGTAGAAAGTTTGTCCACACAGAACAGGAGGGTAGAGAAGGGAACACTGCATCCTGGGATGCTGGAGGAATGCAGCTTGTGCAACTCACCTATGGGGAGTAGCCACACATTAATAGAACATGAGCTGGGTAACACAGATCAGAAATAAACCTGCCCTGGAGTGGTGTAACTTTAAGTTGCCTAACGTGTGCTTAAAACTAGTTTTAGGTGTTAATGTGTGGCCAGTCTAGGGGTTAAATACTCCAGGAGCAAAGTCCTAAATATAGTTAACACTTTTATATGAAGAATAATAGCACTAGACCTAAAAAAAACCCAGACATTTTCCTTTTAAAATAACATGCTTATTTGAATGTCATAGCAATCTGTTCTATTGTACCAGAGCCTTATTTTCCATCTAGTTTTATTCAGGCCTCCATTTTTTTTCTTGTATAGGTTTGCAAACTGAAGCCATTATAGGCCTTGTTTGTACTCTTCAGTTATTTATGGGTATATCTGATGCCACACCAACATCTAAGTATGCTGCAGTAGTTGCAAATCAGACAGAAGTTTAAGTGTCATCAGTTGTTTCTGAAAATAGTTGTGGATGCAAATTTGTGAAGTCAATTATTTGTAGCTGCAAATGCAACAACTCAAACCAAACTTTCAAAAAACTGCCCCTTTGGGTGCGTCCACACATGCAGGCATGTGCGCTTTTAGCAGCTCAAACAGAAGCAGTATAAATTTGAGCCAGGGCTTTTCGCCTCAGAGCATGTGCCTGGACATACACTTTGGCATGGGGCAAATTGTGCCACTTGGGGCATAATAACTCTGCCTGGCTCCTTCCAGATCTGCAGCCAGGGGGAGCTAGAGTGGGTGGCAACGCAGACTCTGTACATGCTGAATGGACCTGGCCTGGCCTGGCCTGGCCCATCCAAGGCCTTGAACTAGCAGGCTGGGCTGGGTCTGTTCAGCATGTATGGAGCCTGGGTCACACAGCACCACATCACTGCCGGCTGTGCCTGCAGCAGAGCCACAGCCATGCTGCCTGCTGCCACCAGTGCTGCAGGGGCCAGGTGGGGGGGCAGGCATGTGGCATCCCCAGCCCTCTACTCCCCCCCCCCCCCACCCCCCCCTGCCACTCTGCATAGCCCTGACATCCCCCTCCACTCCATACGCTCCTTGATATCCCCTCACCACTCCCTATAGCCCCCAACACCCCCTCTACTCCCAACACCCCCCAACCTCCCCCACCATTCTCCATAGCCCCTGACACACCCGTCCACTCCCAACACCTCTTGACATCCTCCTGCTACCCCCCCCCCCCACCCCCCCCTGCCACTCTGCATAGCCCTGACATCCCCCTCCACTCCATACGCTCCTTGATATCCCCTCACCACTCCCTATAGCCCCCAACACCCCCTCTACTCCCAACACCCCCCAACCTCCCCCACCATTCTCCATAGCCCCTGACACACCCGTCCACTCCCAACACCTCTTGACATCCTCCTGCTACTCCTCACACCCACCCACACCCATCCAAACCCACCCCACATGCCTAACTTACCCTTGACAGCACCAGGGGTGGGTGGGGGTGGGGTGGGGCAGCAGGAGCACTACAGAGACGCTCTGGCCAGAAACCAGTGTGTCTCTCCTGGAGGACTGACTCCCAGGTTGCCTCCAGGCATGGTCTGGGACTGTGCCTTGTCCCACTATTCTGTGGTGCATCTTTTTTTACCCCTGGGCATCCAGGGGCCTAATTTTGCCTCCTTGCTGCAAAACGTTTTTTTTGTTTCCCATACATGCATCTTGCAGCTGCAAGACGCACGTGCGTGCTTGTCTGGATGCACCCTTTGTATTCATTCATGCAGAGAAAATCTAGCATTGAAGTGGAAGGTGTGGGTATCCAAAGGAGCCACAGAGAAATAGGCACCCAAAATCCATTAAAATGCAATAGGATATAGGCATCTTGATTATTCTTTTGAAAATTTCTGTCTGACAGTTTTTACAATCTGAGACTCTCATCTGGCAAACATGCCATGTTAATGGTCCCACTTTAAGAGGACCAGTGGTTTTTGGATAGTTAGTTACAGATAAACCTTCTTAAATTTCTTTTAGTTTTTCCAGTACTAAAAGTTAGCTTATATTCTTTGTCCGCTACTTGTGACCTAAGTCAGTGTTCCATTTTCCTGTGAGGTACGTACAGAGTTCGGAAGTCATTTTTTCCCAGGTTGTTGAATTCTTGACAGATTTTGTCTCGCATATAATCACGACCTATAAAACAAGAGATGGGAAGATTTACTTGAGACAAAAAGGCACAATATTCCATTTCATGCTGTCCAGAAGCTGGGCTTATGTGAAATCTATATTCTCTATGGGTTTGGTTGAAAAGGTATTGCAATCAGCCAGTCTATTTACTTCAATAGGCTTTATATTAGGCAGTTTTTTCCCCAAAATGAGATTGATAGGGAGAGAAAAACTTGAAGTTGCTTAATTTTTAAACAAAAACTTGTTGACATTTCCA